ACACTTTCAAATAAATCCCCACTCCTTCACCACTGTATTTAAATATTTTAAGGCTCTGAACACTGCTTATTAAATGGAAAACAACCAGGTCTTTTGACCTTGACACATTTCAGTACCCATCGTCTGTTTATCTAGAAACAAGTAATTATGTTTACAATGGGATACCAAACCTGAAAGATTTTTGTGAAATACAGATATGACAATGGAAGAAAAACGTTATTGTGAAAACATGGGCTTACGTCCAAAGGATGTTTGGACTGACTGTTCCTCACAGGATCACATTCTTTCAAAAGGAGCAGAAATTTATTTATGGACTCTGCCCTGCTCCTGAAGAAAGAAATGGTAGCAATAATCAAAATTGTCTAGTAACATTTGTCTAATAAAATGAAAATCATCCCTCCTAAATATCTCAGAATTAGCCACCATTATTTATGTTTGTCAGGCTTTAGAATAGTCATTATAATACGTTCTATATAGTGCTACAGTTGATCGTTCCATAAGTTTGGCTGATGCATAACTATATAGGCCAGTTGCTGCTATGATCTGGCTGTGGAAAATGCATTACATTTATGCAGGTTTAATACACTGGTTATTTACTAGATTTTGTACTCAATTTAAGGCACCAGGTATTAGCTTTAAGCCACCATAGGTACTAGACACAAAATACCTTATAGCAAAGATAGGTATTTGAAAATGGTAGGTATATTTGGAGTGTTGAAAGCTTGTTGTTCACACAGAATGTCATGAAACAGCTTGCACATCCACAAAACAGTTACATTAAAAAAAAAAATCGATTTACCCAAGTTCATGAAGTTTCTTCCCCACCTACCCCCTCTTTTGCTCTGAAGTGAAAACAGGTCCTGTACCAAAAAATAGGGTCCTGTGCCCACTCCCCCAAAAGCTCTTATATAGCTGGTGGAAGAGCAGGTCTTCAAAAGTTAGGCCACAGACATTAAAAGCAAAAAGTTATACTTTATAGTACAATACAGTACAATCAGAACAGATAAACATATGCCTTGGTTGCAGCTTCACCTTCCATGGCCAACCTTTCTAGGATCTAACCATCTCAGAAGGTTCACAGAGGAAGGAGTTGAAGGCCAGAAGCACCAACATGCCCACTACTTCTCTTGGCACGCACCACCCTCTCTGATTCATCATTTTTTTATTTTTAGTCAAATGGGAAATCAGCATCTATAACATAAAATACCAAGCAATAAGGCCAGCTTCCCCTCCCCAGCAAAAAATTATCTCAATTCATAGCATGTTTAGCAAAGAAAAACATGTGGGGCAGGGGGAGGTTTGCAAGGTAATGCTTATTTCAGAAACGTGCCACAGAAATGTTTCCCAGAAATGGGAAAAAGGAAGAGAAAGCATCTTCAGGGGCTGGAAGAGGTAGTGGGAACAAAAAGATGGGAATTTTATGACTGGCCACACTCACCATAGCATTACATGACAAAACAACATGCTCTTCTAATGTGCCCAGTTGCCCAACATTTAGGGACAGCAATAATCCCATTCTGTCATCTTCCCTTCCTCATCTGGGACAACTGCTGCTAGCCATGAAAAATTCAGGTAAATCGAAAACACCAGTTGCAGATCCCACATGTCTTAATCATTACTACAGTAGAATCCACCAAATTGCTGAGTTTTATCTGCAATATGCCATTTTATATCAATATCCTTTAGCAAGCTCACCATGCTGACAAAGAGTTTTGAGAGTTACAATTATAACACATCTAGAGGATATCAGGCTGAGGAAGCTAATTTAGAATAAAACATTAAGCCAATGGGAGTTTTTCCTGACTGCTTTCCTGATTTCCCCTACAAATTCCAATCTGACTTATAAGAAAAACCAAATTACTAAATTAAACTAAATCTCTGTTTCTAAGGGAGCCACTGTTTATGTAAGGGAAGCATCTAGGTCTCTAAAGCAGAAGACAAATCCACAGTGAAATGATGAATTAAAAAAGCTAAGTATACCTGGCAGAAGACGGGTAAAGAGAAAGAGAAACAAAGGATTCCTGAAAACCATTATGTTGATTTATTTTTCCAATTCTGAATACTTTAAGAGTAGCGGAACTGCTACTGGCATGATAGTATTATTCATAGTCAATAAATCTAAACTATTATGTGTAAATATTGGAATGAAGCCATTAAGATTACAACACACCCCACAGCAGAGGGTCCACATGAAACAAAAAAGAAAGCTAATTCAGGACAAGTGTGACCACTGACCTTTGAACAGTTAAGACCACTAGTCAATCTAACAATCTAATGGAGTTCACATGTATAGAAAGTCATAAAGCCTATATGTATAATTTAAATGTTTTGGTGAACGAGTTAAAAAGGCCTGTTAAGTTTCAGCTAATTGTATTAAACTGTTGATTAGATTCGTGCCAAATAGTAATGTTTTTCAGATTGCTGCAAAACTAACTTTTTCTGGAAATAAAAAAAAGCCATTCTCAATAAATGAGATGTCATAACATGAAACAGCACTGTATTACAATTTTAAAAGTCCTGGGCTGTTAAATACTGTAACAATAGAAATAAATATCATATAATAATTTAAGTCTTCTGGTTATACAAAGATGACTTATAAAAGGAATTCAGGAATTTAGGAGTGATTCTGAATTCATTTTTTCATTCCTGTAGAAAATGTAAAGCTTCATTTATATACTCATTTTTTCAGCTGTCCACAGTAAGACACTATTTTATCCCTTGTAACATTTTAATAGATATAAAGAACAGTAGATGATATACAACAGGCATAAGAATTGAGACATAATGTACATATGGAAAGGAACCTTATTTTATATGCATCTATTCACATATTTTCATCTATTGTACATAAAATAATTACATAACTATTTATATTGATATCCTTTGCTCAGCCTTGCTTATTATTGTTTAATATTGTTAAACCCACCATCAAAACTGTTACCAAAGAGTCAACTTTGATATATGTACATAATATTTATAATGCAGTATCAGTTTTATATATATCAGTCTATAAACTACCAAAATTGCAGAAAGGACATACCAGTCAACTTTCAATCTATACTTACATGCATTTTTAATTAACAATTAAAATTTACAAAAAAGCCTTGTTAGAATGAAAGCTATCAGGACAGTTAAACATCTGGTAAAACAAATAAACTACAGTATGTTTTACCAGAAGGAAAAAATAAAACTTTATAGAGTATACAAAATAATATATTGTGTTATGTTAATATTTTACATGGAATGTTCATTTTTGTAAAAGGCCCACTGCCTGTTCCATGAAAGAGTAAAAACATTAAAAGATCAAATACACTTTCTACTAAATATATTTAGGAAAACTGGCAAATCATACTGTCTTTTAGAAAAACAGAAGAATCCAAAATAGAAATGCAAGGATCTTAGATAATCACCAGTAGGTTTATGCAAAATGTGAGCCTCCATACATCATGTGTATAAAAATAAAGAAACCCCTTTTGTGCTCAGAACTGTGTGTGCTTGGAAACTACTGAACTATAGCTCTATAGTTTAATTTATTTATATTCATTCATATGGGACATACATAAATGACCATTTCTTCTTAATGCAAGATCAAAATATATATTTCAATTAACAACTGCATAATATTTTGGGATTTAAATTTGTTCTGATATAACTTCTAGATAATGTTAATTATAATAGCAAAAATGATTTTAGAAGTGCATCTTGCAATCAGCTATGTGTTACCCATGTCTGTTATTTCCTTTTCCAAAGCAAAGTAGTAAAACATTAATCTGAATATTTATTATGCTTTTGTTATGTTTTAAATAATGTATAAGAATAAATGTCTTAATAATATAATAAATAAAACAACTAATGTATTAAAATTACTATAAACAGAAATAAGGTTGCTGTCATACTGTCTTGAGTGGTCTATACAAGTATATATGAATGCGTTTGTGTGTGTGCTCACATGCATATATATATTTCAGGAATAATGTAATATTATTTCAGTTTTACTATGAACCATTTGTTATCATCAACTTCTGAATTCTGCCTCAAAAATGAACAAAATGTGATAGGGAAAGGAGTTCTTTTTCAGAATCATGTTGCAGAAGACCAAGAGAAAGTGAAATGCTATTCTGGGGATGTCTATCTGACATGAACTGTAGAATATGTTCTATTATAAGCATCCAGGAAAAAAAATCTTCATGAGATCAAAGTCCAAGAGTAACTGGCACTTAATTTATCTTCCTTTACAGACAAAAGGCAGTTTTCGTCATTTTCAAAAGGATCCAATGTCTTTTATGACAAACAGGGCTTGCAGTTTAATTTACAAATAGAATTATAAGTAAGGCATCTTTGCTCTGCCAAAGCAAATGACAAACAGAGTACGGTTTTCAATTCGTGCCATCCTCAGCAGGATGGAAGAGATTAAAATAAAACTGAAATAATTTAGACAAAACAAATAAATGTTTCAGAAAGTTGAAGGAGATCAAAGTATGCATTTTCTGACCCCACTCTACAAGCATTTCTTATTATATTGACCAATGTCATCAGATCATTAATTAAAAGGAGAAGTGCTGGCAGGTGGCAGGGAACCAGAAGCCGATAATTGGCCCCCTTCTTCTTTTTGCTTTCAAAAACTCCTTTTTTTTCCTTTGCAAGATATGCCACTAGGCAGACAGAAATGCCTACTTTGTAATATAATGATTAAGATGAGATGAAGAGACTCTTGCGTTTAAAGCTATGCCTAATGAATGCAGCTAGCTTTATAATTATGATCTCCCTTTTTCTTCTACAGTAAGAAGTATGATGCTCCACTCAACATTTCCTGAACTGTCAAAAGCAAGTAAAAAAAACAAAAAAACAAACAAAACAAACAAAACAAGACACCATTAAATAGGAAATCTATAGCGGATGGCATGATGTTCGGGGGGTACTCTTTTTTTTCTCCTACTTAGTATAGCAGGGAAACGTCAGTAATTCAAACACCCAAGAGGATAAAACCAACTTAGACTTACCACTTCACTTGGTAGATTGCTCAGGTCATTAAATGGTGTTTCCAATGTATTTGTGTCAACATTTAGCATCACCACATCCTCCAGTGATTTACATTTGACTCTCTGGATAGGGGAAAATATCAATGCAAGTATTTGAGTGCTTCTCTTCCTTATTTTAATACAAAAATAATCACATGTTCAACTTACAAATCTAAGTTATAAACAAACAAGGAAACAAACTGGGGATGCAGCAATCTAGGTCACAAAGAAATAAGGCAATATTTATAAAGCATTGGGTTCCAAGAACTTTCTTCTGTAACACATCGTTAATTAATGAAATTTACTAAGGTGGTGATAGACACTAGCTGAGGTGGCTTTAAAAGCAGAATTTATTGAGGATAGACCCATCAACAGCTATTTACCACAATGGCTGAATACGATCTCCTTGTTCAGGATTCTTCTGTCACTGAGTAAAACGTATTGGGTTACTCTCTTTGTGGAAATATTTGCCTAGCCACTGTAAGAAATGAGATGCTAGACACAAATGGACGTTTGATCTGGTTTGGCAGGAGACTCTTTACAGCCTTCCTTTTTTTGACCAATGCAAGCATGAACTGACAAAACGCAGCAAGCAGAGGCTTACAGGCCTGAATAACAATAAGAAATAGATGACGTATTATATTCTCGCGATTGCGTACATTCAATGTGTATAACATGTCCCCAATGATATCAGAGAAGCAATTCCATAATACTGCTGGACAGGCTTTCTAGAGTTTCTCACTCTTTTAAGCTCAGCCAGTGTCATCCTAGATGAAGCAAATAAATTAGAGAAGTCTTCCTAGTCCTAGTTCTGAGCACCTTCTATGCTGAATGAAGTGGTCAATCAGATATGAATATACTGAGGGGAGGCTTACTTTTCTTAATAAGGTTCCTGGCCATTTTCTTTCCTTGCTAGTTCTCATTCGCAAATAACTGCAAGCATATGTGAAACAAGCAGGTGATCCTGCCTGGTTCCTCCCCACTCAATAATTCTATCCCCCTCCATACAGAAATCTAGATATCATTAAATGGCATGCTGCCAAAATAGCTTGGGAGAATGTTCAGCATTCCATTTTGATGCTGATATATTTAGGGCTGCTTCAAGGGCTCACGTGAAAGAAACTTACTGTTCTCCTCCACTGTAGCTAATGAAGATGGGAAGTTCTCCCATTCTGTTTCTCAACTACAGAGAATCTCAAAAAAATGGAGGTTGTCTAAGAAATCTAAGGTTAACAAACTTGCTTCTTTTATGTATCCTACCCATCCAATTTCCCATAGAATTACTGTTTTCCACTGCTACATTTCATTTTTTAAATAATGAAGCCTTTTCAGGAATAGTATAGTTAGACCCAGCTACGCTTTCAAAATATTTACACAGAATGCAACCTTAACATGTAGCCATGCACAAAGAATAAAGTTACTCACCTCCATTAAACTGAAGTGAACTCCAATCAGATAAGGCATTGGTGCACTGAAATTAAGGGAAAAAAGAAAGAAATGCAACAGATACTAGAAAGATAAAGAACTGTCATCTTATGAGAGTGAGCATATTTGCCATTTCCAAATATTGCAGTGCACAAAAACCGTTCTGTGAGCTGGGAATATCTGGTTCAAAACCTAGCTATCATTCCAGCTATAAATTAAGGACTAACACAAGACTATCTTGCAGAGATGTTGCAAACCTGAGGACATATACTGAAGAGTATGAATACTTTAAAATGTGAGCTTTATCAAATAGAAGTTGCAGTCCTTTCCCCATATTTTTTCTTATTATGTATGCAGTATTATATGCTTGCTGATCCATCTCTCTCACTGAGTCTAAGTACATATTCAGACAAAAACAACTGGATTATCTCCATCTATTAATTACTATTTTGTATCTTCTACATCTTTGCCATTTAATTATTTGCTTAGTAATGTATTTCTAATCTGTGCTCGATCAAGAGAACTCAGGGTGGAGATAAAAACCAACAAACAAATCAATATGAAAGCACTTATTAATACATGAAGAACAGATAAACCAAGTAACAAAATGCTAAACTACCAACAGGCTTGGGTAAACTGTCAGGTCTCAATGCGATGTTAAAAGAAAACAAATGCATGCTTCAGCCAGGCTTTTGAGAGAAGAGAGTTCCATAAACCAAGCAGAGAAGTCCTCTCTCACATTTGCACTTCTCCCAGTAAGTGGAAGGTGGAGGAAAGCCCCCTCATCAAATTTTTATATTTAATATTTAGGCAGATGATACAACAGAGGCTGTCCTTTAAATATCAAGGTCCCCAGCTGTTTTAAAGCCACCATGAATACCTTGAACTCAGATCAGAAGCTATTGAAAGCGACAGCAGTTCCTGTAAAACTGAGATAATTTTGGTCAGTTTGGGCTACCTAGCAATTAAAAACATAGGATAGTCATCCCATAGTAATGTATGCTCCTATATTTTTAATCAGTAGGCAAGCCTAAACTGTCCAAAATTATCAAAGTACTAGAGCTGTAACTGACAAAGATGAATCTAGCACTACACTCAAAATACACTCTCAAGGAGAGAATATATTCATTTCAGTGCATGTTGGTTGCCCACTTCCCCAAAATAGGAACCACTGATCCATACAGACACCATCTTGTCAAATAGTGTTGTTTTATTGGCTGTGATGCAGCTTATTAAGACATCTAGACTGCAGTTTAATAACAGTAGTGATGTTGCACTGACTCTAAAGACTGGGAAAAATAAAATTGGGTATTATCATCACACTGATGACACCTGACTTTAAACCCCTGATGTTCTTCTTTAGTGTGTTCTTTTATATTTTAATAGAATGAAGGACAGAAAAGGACCTCATAGCACCTCCTAACTCAGTAGTCTTGAGATGAACAGAAATCCCCAAATAATCTCACTTTTGCAAGTTAATTCAATAAATTAATCTGGAGTAGAAGTGGATTATTTCTATTTTTCATTTGTTGATTTATTCATGGAATAATCTGTTACACTGAATCTAGCTAATGTAGAGTTCAAAGTACCAGATCATTTGCATTAATACGACAAAAAAATTGCCAGAATGGGAAAAATGAAAGGCCTTTACATGATCTTTCTAAAAGATACAAAGCTTCTACTTCTATTACTTTGCATCTACTACTACATACAAGAAGCCTAAGATGATCTGGCATTCTTGTAATGTGACCCTTCCCCCAAACCCGAGCAGTTGTCACAGGGGAGGGGACAAAAATAAACGCACGGAAGCAGCATGTGAGAAATATGGAACAATTAGATGAATAGTTAGTGGTTTTGATCTGCAATAGTCTATTTTTGCTACAAATTATAACTGTATATTATTGTGACCATACAGTGAAATTGCTTACGCAAACTACTTTAAAACATTCATTTACCTTCTGAACATCCTTTCAATAATATTATAGCATGTGTTCAGAATGCCTGCCTTCATAAGCAGATGATGTCCTCCAGGCAGTACTAAGTTTGATTAAATTAAATTGTTAAATTATTACAAAAACATTTTGGTTACTTTGTGATACTGAGATCTAGCTGTATGTATTTGTATGTATATTCAAGATCAAAATGCTGGGTTTAATCTTACCTTACTTAAACAGCTCTACTGTATGAATAATATGGTCACCTTGAACAGCAGTGGATTACACAAAAATAGCAAAATGCAAGGTGACCATGAAAATCTTACACAGGAATCAAGCAGTAGAATTATGCCTTCTATTACACCCTCATGCAAAGAAAGAAAACCCTGCTCTTTTAAATTTTAGGTAGGTAGGTAGGTAGGTAAGTAAGTAGGTAGGGCAAGAAAGGCATACAGTATTAAAAAAAGGATTAGATTTGATCAATAGAAGGCAGGGAAAAGTTGAAGTCTGATGTGTATTACAAGAATAAGGTTGGGTTCAAATGCAATTGTGATTTACAAAAGATAACAACTGTATATTTGTATATTTAGTAAATAGTTAGAAATACACTTAGTTTCTTTTACTTATATTTAGTATTTTTAGAAAAACACAGAATTGTATCACTTTTAATTTCAGCTTTCTTTCAGTATCTGACATTCTGGCCAGAGTCTTATCAAATCCAGTATATGGCATTGAGTTCTATTTGCTCACTACTTCCCAATGGTGCTAAATACTCAGATAATTTAGCCAATATGTATGCTTAAGCTTTATGTTTCTCTTTTAGTTACCCAATAAAAGTTCTTCAATATCCCCTAAAAACTTTCTTCCTTATGGGGAAATATAATTCATTTTTTTCTGCATTTATGCACAACAGCCTTAGGATAGTCAAAGAAAATGATTTGAAACAAAATGGAAGCATTCCCAGGATGTTCTTAAAATGTTTGTCTTTTTTTTAAAAAAAATCATATCTCATAAAGCTTGCCCTGAGTTTTACCTAAGAGGTGCCCATTTTGATGGTATTGATTATCTGTCATGGCATAGTCTTTTGTGCTCAGATGCACATGGCCAGCAAAATACAAGGGTCATAAGAGGGACTCAACAAGGGAATGATTTGCAACATAGGGAATGTGTGCTGGGACCAATTTATGTCCCTCATTCATGACATGCATCATAGGCACAGATGACCTAACACCAGGTTCACCTGAGACACAATGATATAGTATCACAAACCAGCATGGGGTTCTTGGTTAAAGCAGATAACTAATTGCTATAAAGCTTTCGCACACATCTGGCAGTAAAACTTTCCTTCGTACTTCTTTAATACACACTTCTTTTTTATAGTAAATACAACAGAGATATACAAAGTCTAAATGTACTTTATGACTGCCAGAGTGATATTATGCTACATACATACTATTGTTCAAAACAGCACCAAACACATTGAGGAGGCTGTATCGATTATGCATTTTTTCCCCATCTAGGGACATTTCTCACCTTGTGAATTTGAACTACAAACTTAAAATTAGGCATTTTGTTCTGCATGTGGGATGAACAGAATGATCAACCCATAGACCACCTACATTTCAACCCCCTTATTTTTGTGGCCCTCAGAGCCTTGGAAATTATACTACTAGATTTTAGAGAATTATACTCTCTAAAAAATCCCACAACCCCAACCAATAAAAAGCTATGAGTTTTTTTCTATTAAAAAAAAAATTTCAATTCACCCTAAATAAATACTCTCAGAATCTTAATCCATGCCACTTTTGGTATGTTACCACATTGCCATCCTTGGCCTTCAAACATGCAAAACAATAATAAAGAGCATACAAACTCCCAATGGCAAAAGCTTGCCAACTGGTACAAGAACCATGTTTACAGTTTACATATTAGTCAGCTCTATGGGTTTGAAATGTGACTTCACTGTAAAATAGAAAATAATATTATAAAATGTTACAGGTATTGGACTGGTGATTACAGCCATGAATTTAGACTGGAGGTTCCAATCCTAGCTATGATACTTTTTTCTAGGTAAGTTAGCCTCATTTTCTATATAAACTGGAGTAACAATAAATACTGTATGACAAAGAATACACACGTAAGATATACAAATGATTGTGTAGTTTATACTGCTTTACAATTTACTACAAATGTTAAGAGTAGTTATATACACTGACACAAAAGTAGTGTAAGACAGAATAAGATTTTTAGTTTCTTGGAAAACATGCCAATTTGTAATAGATAGGATGCAAGAAGTTAGTTTCCAAATCCCACTGAGCAAAACTGCATTCATGAAATTATTCCACTGAAGAATGGGAAGATGATTTCTGCACATTCCTCCTTTCAATTGTAGCCTCCTAAGAAGCTGATTAAGGTAGTTGGGGACATTCCCAAATCCATGAGTCATACTGCAGGGAGTGGCAATAAAAATTATCTCCCCAAAATCTTCCCTACAGTAGAACTCTTCTATTTGCAAAGCAAACATTCCAATTAACTATGGATCATAAACCAATAAATATTTTTACAGGAAGTAGAAGAAATTGGTAGTATTTATGCAACCTTTGGAATAACAAACTTCAATGTCCTGAAGTTGATAGATTGATAAATCAATTTATGGCCGCTTTAAATGGTGTAACATTAGGTTCCTACAATCTTAAAATATGGTTGGTACTACTTCAACAAAAATCGCTTCATGTATATTGGATGTCTCAGGGAATGTTTACTAAGTGTTGGAAACCAAATGTGTCGCTGTTGGAGATGCTACTCAGGAATTGGAACATTAACCCATACAGTTTGATCTTACTCTATTATCAACATATTTGGGGCTGATATCAAATAGGATTCTCACTATGACTTTGTATTAATTGCTTTGTGTTAAAGATGTTCTTCTTAATAATATCTATAATATTTCAAATCTATCATGGAATCAAGAAATCTGCACTTTCTGGCCTGGGGGGTGGTAACAGAATTAACATACTACATGGGAAGTAGAAATCTATGTCCCATTTACAACAGTGTATTGTTGATACATGCTGTCTGCCAACATTTGCATTACTTCTTTTTCAACAAAAAGGAAATACACTCTAGGTTTTTGAAGTAATTTTGTTTATATATTAATTTGGTGGGTCTTTTTTCATTTGATTTACTTGTAATTAAGATGTTTATGTTAGAAGTTATATTATTCCAACTCCATTGAATGAGCATATACTTTTATTCTGTTAATTAATTTAGTAATATAACATTTATTTTAAAACCCTGGGGTATTTCTTCATATATGTCCAAGGTAAAATGAGATATTATCTGCATTAAAATAAAAATGCAGTTTTTTATTTAAAAACAATGCTTGATATGAATCAGTTTTTTCTTCATATTTCATAGAAAAGTAATACTGGGGAAAGCTTGGCATAATCAGTTTCTGATTAGTAGTTTATGTCATTAAAGAAAGTGTCAGGCACTTAAAAGGAGAAAAAAATAATCATGACAATTAAGACACATGCATATTTTTTTCTTCTGGTAATCACATCAATTTATGAAATCTAGTCCATCATTTTCCTAAAATAATTGCTATTTTATATAAAGTATGAACTGGAAAATTATTATGGCTTTATTATGAAAAATGTTTGTTCTACAGTATAAACAGGGAGAATCTCATAAGAAATCATTATGCAGTTCTAAGGAGAATTATCTAATCCTTCAGAGTGTTAATAGAGCTTCTCAAAAACAGACGCTTCATAAAGCAATGCATATAGTGCTATAGGTAAGAAACTATACCAATAAGTTAATGTGATTGTTTTTTCTTGTTTAAAAATTAAGCAACAGCAAAGCCTGTCAGACTTTTTATTTGGCATCAAAATAAATCTCAACTCTCCAGACACCAATTAAGCAGAATCTTCGAACACATGACACAGCTAGATAAGATGCTTTACTCCAGATAAGGAAGAGGAATCAAGCTGTCTATAAATCTGCTCTAGGCTTTAAATTCTAGGCCTTTTCCACACATCTTTTCAAGTGAACAGACTTTTGGCCATTCTTTTCCTGGCACTGAAAGTTGGACACACCTACTCAGTGTCTACATAAAGTTTACTCTGGCCTGAGCATCACTAGTTTCCCCCTCATCAGCATCACCAGTTACCCCTCATTATACCTATGAAAGAGCGCTGTATGATTGGATAATGACTCTAATGCCAGGAAAAGTTCAGCTCTTTTTGACATCTTAAACTTTTGCTGTGTATTTTATACAATATAAATGAATGAAATTATTTCATCCTAGAAGGGGGATGGTCCTTCTTTCAGCTATGTTAGCTTTGAAGTTCTATCTCTGCCCTTTGATTTCAATGATTTTTAGTCCCATTAAATCATTGCTTTCTTTACTGGGACAAGTATATTAACTTATAAGACTTCTAGATAAACTGTGCCCGTGAAGATGATGTAGAATCTTGGAAGTATTTGTGCTATTTAAATGCTAGGCCTATTTTGTGCTTGTACTGTAACATTTTATTTACTTTTTATTTATTTATTGTATTTATATATTGTATAACATACTAAGAGATATCAAATAAGCTCTGAAACACCACACGTAGCACACACAAAATATCAAACAGCCATTACTAGATTAGTAATGATGAAATTCAGTAGCTCTCAACTACTGACTACCTTCCCTCAACAGAGAAACATTCAAAGCTCACATTATGGAATCTCTACATCCATTTGGAGCATACAGAAAAGAAAGATAATACGAAATTTTGGATTTTATCTAAAGTCTGTAATTCACCAACTTCTAAGACCTAGTGATATAAACATAAGTCATGCAAGTCATATAAGTCATGTTTCACATCTTAGTTCTGCAGCAGTACAGTTTAAAATATGTTTACCTGTATTTGTTCTTAGTTTAAAGCAGTGCCAAATATGGCATGTTTTCAGTTTAAGTCTGCACTACTAGAACTGGGTTTAATGTTCAAGTGATCCTATGAATTTAATTGAACAGCAGTCTTGCTTAATTATTAGAGAGATAAAGAATAATACATATTTAGTCTCTTACCAGCAATAGTCCAGGAGATGTGGTGGGAGCACTGGGATGTATATGTGCTGCCAGTACATTGGATATAGCAATGCAGCTGACCCATGGACACAAGCAGTTAACTAGAATTCAAAGCAGACACAAAAGTGTAATGTTAAAATAATAAAAAAAAGAAACAAAGCATTACATTAAGTATGTCAGCAACAATAAACCTGCAACTAAGATGTATATACAATATTTAGATAAAACACTAAATTTCTGTGTACAATAGAAAGGCTGTATCACTATCATTCACATAATGAAATATCAGTATCAATCATAGTCTTATAAAGAGATGTAGAAACAGTTGCATCTTCTACTGAAAGGAAGCCAATTCAATCTATAAACGTTTCTTTATATATTGATTCATATGGAGAATGCTGTCACTCAAAGGGACAAAGCACATTACACGTTCTCTCTTTATTGTAATGTGAACCAGAATATAGGAAGGAAGATTGTATTGAAAGATTTTTCATGCTAAGAGACTGGATTCACGGCAGAACGTTGGGTTTTTGTACATCATTTAGGAGATTTATAAACTCTTTCAGTTTTACACACACTCAGACGCACACATGCACACAGGGATAGAGATATGGGAGATTGGTACAAGTTCAGCTAAATTATCCAAAATGCTTGCTGATTTTCAGAAATACAACTGGTAATTTTGGAAAAGAAATACAATGGTCTATGAGCATTGCAAATACCTGTAATAGATTAAGCAGAAAAAAGCCAATTCAAAGCCCTCCTCTATATGCTGCAATATTGGAAATACAAATAAATTATAGTAATAAAAGACAGCTATATTCTTTCTACTTCATCTCACACTGAGTTAAAGAAGAAGAACAGTTCTGCACATGTACATTCCGGGATTCTCTCTCAACTAACTATCTTGGACTACATCTCTAATCCATCTAAAGTTTGCCAAAAGTAAGTTTTACTACAAGCAGTAATATGCTCCTACTTATTATGGCCATTGTTAAAATTATGTTCTGAAAGAGATGCAAAAGAAATGAAAAGTTTTACATGAGGCATTTTCCACTGCATGGAATCTGTTGATACAAATGCTTTCTTTCCCCCTCCCACATACAGGTAACTTGGATTTGGCAGCAAACATTCTAACTCGCATCAAGAAATTATGTGGTGAGTGAAACGTTTGTTCTTGTTATAAAACCAAGCAGTCCAAATAGTTGATACATACTGGTCTACAATAGAGCAGCTTCCATTTTTATAAAACAGCATTCTCAGTTTTTGTCACACAGCACAGTGCCAGGAGACTCAAACAAAGTGAACACAAAACAAACAAACAAACGAGTCTGGACTTGCTTGGATCTCACCATACGAATAAAAATTCCTAGGACTGTGGATCCCCTCGGGATTCTTGTGCTAGAAAATAACTCTGGCCTCATCAAGGGACACCTCAAATGGATTTGAGAGCTTATGCTTCACATAGTAACAGTTTATGCTATCAACATCATTCTTTAAAGAACAATTGAAATAAATGGCTAAGAATAAATCTCTCTTCACACAGAAGTAGGGTTTATACCATACAAGAACATCTTTTCCTCTTTGACAAAATCCTTTTCTTTATATAGCAAAGCAGCAACAAATTAGCAGCAAAGAAATCAGGATATTTTAATTTGTTCTGTATTTGTCAGGCCAACAGACATTTAAAATGGTAGGGCAGAAAATGAGACAATTCTACAGCCAGTTTGGTGTAGTGGTCAAGGCATCAGGCTAGAAACCAGGACAAGGTGAGTTCTACCCACCTAGGCACAAAGCCAGCTGGGTGACCTTGGGCCAGTCACTTTCTCTCAGCCCTAGGAAGTAGGCAATGGCAAACCACTTCTCAAAAACCTTGCCAAGAAAACTGCAGGGACACACCCAGGCAGTCTCCAAGAATCAAACACAATTGAACGGATTAAATAAAAAGTGATAGTATAAGAGTATAATTGTGGCTTTCCCACCATTTCAGTCAGTCAGTCAATCTTTATTTGGTCACTGACCAGCATAAAATAACATTAGATGACAATTTACAACCATCCAAATATGATATGTGGAGTCCTATGATATGTGGAAAAATAACTAAAATTTAGAATTACTGACACACAGTACATACAATATTTATAAACTACAGTATTAAGATTATGGAAACTTAGAGTATAATACAGCGTTTAATAGAACTGTGTGATATAAGTGTTAATACATAAAACTATGTAAAAGCTAAAAATCAAAATTACCAGAAGAATACAAAATCATTATATCACATTTAGCACTGATATTTCAGCTATTTCCACTATAATGGGGCACATCTGAGGCATAAGATATGCATCTAAAATAAAACGCACATATCTCTAATAATAATAAAAGTCATAAAACTGCAGGGTTAAGACTAAAACAGGATTAAATCTCCCACAAGAAACAACGTGCCACCCCCCTGAAAAAATCCCAACACATCAGAATGACCTAAGCATGTACATTACTGTCCTACCCAGTGGCCTTCAACTTTCGTCAGATAGTTACTGCAGCTACAACCATCCCAAGGTTGCCCACTCCACTCCTGTCTTAAAGAAACAATGGCCTTTCTTTTGAGTAGAGGAAGAAAGAGGAGGCATTCTGAGATCTCTCTCTGCTGCCGGTTTGAGGCCAAAGGAGGCCCCTGGGATAACAATACCAGCTGCAGCGGTTGCCATGCAGGGGGAGACATGGCAGAAATGGCCCAGGTACAGAGATCAAACACTATGCCAAGGACAATATCCTAGAGAGAAAATGCTATTAAGACAAGCAAATGGGACAAAGCTGGCACTATTTTAAAACCTTTCCTGATAAAATGCTAAACAGGGGTCTTACTTTTATTAATGAGGAGTTAAGTCTCCACTAACAATTGTCCCAGGAGCCCCAGTCTGTTTTACAATTCACAAAGGGTACAAGAAATGCATCTTGCACATAATACCATTCACTTCTTAAGTGTTAGCCTAGCTCATATTGTTAAGAGAGTTATTTGAACTATGAGGGAAATTAACAAGGATGTGTTTCTCTGGGCAAACTCATTGCAAAGAAAACCAGATGCAGCCAGCAGATGAATTTCACATGAACTAGACCCTAATTCTCAGAAGACACTGTATGGTCACAATAGCCAGAATATAATCTACTGCTCTGCTTTCTCTTTTTAAATCTCTGCTTATCTACTATGTATTTCCTGATGCCATAATAAAGTACATTTATTATAATATTCTGATTGCAACGAGCTTAGGAACTCATACCTGGCATCAAGTACGGAACCTTTGTTCACAGGACTGAGAATTCTGCATAAAGCCCTCTTATAGTAAACATGCCAGAAGACAAAGACATAAAAGCACCAGAATGTAACTTTTCTTATCACTGAGATAACGGATCTCACAAAAAAAAGCTCCTCTCCACGTTGCTATACAAACTGGAGCCATATTAATGAGCAAAAGAGCCATTCCATGGATTCTATCTATATAGCCTAAGGTGTCTGACATTCTGCCAGTGGCACAAAAAACAACTAAGTACAGCATTTCCTACCTCACGTACTGGCAACTCACAACTCATGTAGTCATCAAAGATCTCCCAGGTGGCCTACCATAGATGCCTGTCAGGAACATGATTGAAAAAGAGAAAATAGCACATGGTTCTACAACACTCCTCCTGAGGGCGATGTGTACAATAATATCAATAGACAGGAGAGTTTGGAAGAGAAAGGGTATGCATGTGTAGACAGATGCATGCTTACATACACGTGTATATTAGACCTATGTGAAGTAGCACCATTTTGTAGAGGCTCCTCAACTCCAACTGATAGACTGAGCTGCTTCCACATGGTGTCCTAACACTGAAAAGCAAGGCATTTCACTATGATGTCTCAAGGTAGGCCACTATGCCTGGCCAATACATTTCAGTGGAAATATCTTCTGCAAAGCCAGGTGCCCCTTGGAGATCTCCCACAGGTCTAATGCAGCTGAGCAATGCCTTTAACAGATCTGGGGAGAAACATGCCCCAATTCAAAGTTAAACATGCATACCTACATCCATATACACAGTGAGCCTGTGTAAACCCTTAAAAGGATGCTTCACTTAACCAAGATTTCAAAGCATCCCTTTTAATATGGTTCCACCCCATTTCTAGGCACTTCTAGATGTTTCTAGGCATTTCTAGGTGCCTCCAGTGTACATTGCATCAGCCACTTTATTAGCTTTCAATGGTCTTCTATGTATGCAGAAACAAAGTAAAGCAACCAGCATCAACACTTTCAACTGGTGGGGTGGAGTGCCTTGCTTTTTCATGTTGAGAAGGTACCTTACCTGGAAGTGGATCACTCCAGCAAGCAAAGTTGAGGCAGTTAATGAAGTAGCACTCCTTTGCATAGCTATAAGATTATCAAGTGCCATGGATGGGGCATGATAGTCCAATCACATATGAAGCAAAGGAATACAGAGTTCTAGATCCACAAGATGAGACTATAAAAGGAAAGACTGTGGGTAAAAATAATACTTTGCTGTCCTCAAATTCATAGCAGTGTCATTTCCAAAAAAAAAAGGGTAGGACTGGGGGTAAAAAAGAAAGGGTAGGACACAGGCCACCTGGACTGGGGAATGGCTGGAAAAGCTCAAATGCTTCTGACAGCTCTTCCTACTTCATGTTTTTAGAGGCTTTTACTTCTTAAATATGAATGCAATCAACAAGCCAAAGATATTTCAGCGAACTCAGCTTCCACTTTAGAATTATTCAACCATTTGTGTTATGAATTTCCATCCTAAATAATGAGCAGAGAAAATGCTTTTAAAAAACGTAAAGCAGTAGAAAAACATGAGATTACAATTTTGAACAGCATTATATACTCTCATTCAGATTAATATAACAGGATTAAATATGGAAAAGAAGAGAGACTGAAAGCTCCTGAGGGATATCATTAGGGCAAATTGCCAAAGAATGAAACATGAGCCAGTCAGGAAAAATTGGAAGATGCAGTAGTACCAAGGGACTTAAATGTTCGACAGTTGGAGCTTCAGTAATGTGTGAACTGAGGGTTACTGTATCAAGAGACTCTGTTCACTGACACATGGA